CCCCTATCATGATTGATCAAGAGGCAAGGGATGCATGCTCAATGAAATGCAACCTAGGCATGGAGGCTAAGTATGCAACATGAACATGCAAATGAGCAATGTATACTAGGCGCGCAACCTAAACATGTAAGCAAACATGGCATGCAACAACATGCGATGATGGACTTAAACTAACATGGATAGCTCGCAAGCATGCCAAAATCAGTAGCCATTAGATGAAAATGAGAGTCTCGAAATGCGTGCACGCATGCACGCAAACCGAGGACCAAACCTAAGGCATAGTATGCAACTCTAACAAGGCATGGCAAGGCATGAAATATGGCATATAAGCCTGTAATTCCAGCACTGAAATGTGATACAAAACAGCCCCTAATCATGGAAACATGGCACCCGATGCATGGAATGGCCCCGAAACACAAAACTAGGCATACGCATTGGCCTATAGCTATACAAAACATGAATTATTTTATCATGAAGCATGAAGACAGATGCAAGACAGTCCCGAAACATGCATATTTCCAGTTTATAACAAGTCCCAAAAATGAATGCAAATAGGGCTAATCTATCATACAAAAATGGCCCCAAAAGAGAGATTATACACAAAGGGACAGAATCTGGCCCAAAATGGCAAAGATCCCTTCAACAAAGTTGAAGAGGGGCTCAAAACAAGGCACTTTACAGTTTATATCAATCCACGAAAATAATCACAAATAAGGCCAAACTATCATGCAAAAAAAAGCCTAAAATAGGGATAAAGAGACAAGTGGCAGCTGCTGTTCTCAAACAGAGAAGAGCCCTTCAAAAATGTTGAAAAGGGGCTCAAGAAAAGAGGTTTTACAGTTTATGGAAAGATTCAAAACAGCTCACAAATAGGCCTAAAGTACTAAGCAAAAATTGGCCTAAAAGAGAGATAGAGAAGCAAGTGATATCACGAGGCCTCAAATAGAGGAGAGCCCTTCAACAATGTTTAAGAGGGGCTCAAAAAAAGATATTTTACAGTTTATGGAAAAGTCCGAAACAACTCAAAAACAGGCCAAAAATACTATGCAAAAATAAGGCCTAAAAGAGAGTTAAAGAAGCAAGTGATAGCTGCTGGCCTCAAACAGAGAAGAGCCCTTCAACAATGTTTAAGAGGGGCTCAAAACAAGATATTTTACAGTTTATGGCAAAGTCCGAAACAACTCACAAACAGGCCAAAAATACTATGCAAAAATAGGGCCTAAAAGAGAGTTAAAGAAGCAAGTGATAGCAGGAGGCCTCAAACAGAGAAAGATCCTTAATCAAACATGAAAAGGGGCTCAAAATATGACTATTTACAGTTAGGGTCAGAGCCCAAAAATGCAATAAACTAAGGCTTATATACAAAGAAAAAAAAACTAAAAAAGGGAAGAAAGTAACTCACCCTTGTAGACCAATGCTCCAACAACTTTTGAGCCAAGTTTGAGAGTTCTTCACCTCTGGAAAGCAGCCTCAAGTTGCTGGAATGGAGGATGGAGGCCTTGTGCTATGAGGTGTAGGGTAAATGGTGTAGGGCTAAGGGTGTTTTGAGGCTTGGAAAAGAGGGAGAGGGAGAGTTGTATGCAATGGCCTTAAACCAATTTTGTAACCCCTCAAAATGCAGCTGAGGGGCTGGTTGTATAGGCAAAGGAGGGGAGGAAAAAGGGGGGAAATGAATTCAAATTTCCCCCCAAAAGGGCACCCCCCAGATACAGGATCTGGGGGGAAAAAGAGGTCACAGCTGGAAGGAACAAGGTGTGGGGTAGGCCTGTCAATGGGTCGGATCCGGGTCGGATCTGCCAAAATCCGATCCGATCCGATTAACTATTAATCCGAATCTGAATCCGAATCCGATTATTGAAAATCCGATTATACGTGATCCGATCCGATCCGTTTTACACGGATATCCGATCCGAATAATCCGATCCGATCCGTTTTTTTTTTTTTTTTTTTAAGCCAGCCATAAAGTCAAGAAAATACCAATTATAAAAAAAACATAGCAGCTTTTTATAATGAAAAGTTCATCTTGATGTTCTAACTTTCCTAAGGCAAAACATTTAGGCAAATCATCACCAATGCAAAACATAACATCATTTCAAAGCATCTTTCCAAAACAAAACATCATAATTTCTCCCCTTGTGATACAATCAAAAATACATAAATGAGGGCTTTCACAATGTAGCATGAAGTAACAACAAAGAAAAACTTTTTTGGTCTTCTCTATTAGTTCTTCAGTATCTTCTCTTGTTCTTTGCTTCTACTACGATAACATCAGCCACCAAAACATCTGCAGAAGTAATTTTATCAATGTATCAGCAAGTGTAAGAGAAGATAAAAACAATAATGAAAACAATTTTGTTGATAAAGAGCAGTGGACCCAAGTAAAGTCACCGATCAGGGAGGAGACTTATTTTGTTATATATATATATATATATATATATATATATTTATAAGGCAACTGCATCATGTGGTATGACCCTTTAGTTCCACTTTATAAGGCAATTAACATTGTGCCACATAGATGTAGACCACTTATTTTGGTTCAGCTGATAATGATTAGAGAATGAATTGGTTATATCATGAAGTAGCTGCAACTTGTCTCTATAATCCCTTTTGCTTTTGCAATTATGGGACTTCACTGTAGTTATAGAATAAAAATAAAAATAAAAATAAATATGATATGCATCTGTTGCAGTGGTTTCAGCCCCAGAAGCACTTATGGGGACAACTAGGTTCCTCTGTTGCCTTGTTTTGAGTCTAGTACATGGTAGCTTTGTGGGTATGTTCTTATTAAAGCCCAGAAAGGGGACAGATATAGAATGATGAGAACATGGTTTAGAGTGGAGGTGAGGAGATAGAGAACAGCTTGGCCTTTGAGGGCTTGGAAGCAGCTTGGCACAGGAAAGAGAAGAGACTGTGCAGATACTTCCATGTTTGACAATTGGAAGCAGCTTGGCCTTTTAGTTCCAATTCTCTCTCATTGTCCTTTCTTTTTCTTTTTCTTTTTTGTTTGCTAATATCTTATACTGTTAATTTTTGTTTTGGTTGTTCCGTAGATATTTCCCATACTAGAGGAGCAGTTCTTGCCTTGCAAACTTGGTGAGACAAAATTGGAGATGCCAGCAAGTGTGTGTGAAGATGGTTACTGGTATAGGGGCTTGCAAGGATTTGATGATACAAGAGATCTTGGGGAACGAGCGTGATGAGATGGAGAGTGAAAAGCGTTTTCGTGGACCATATAGAGAGGTTTTTTCAGATGTTGCTACAGACGATGAAACGGAAGGGGCGAGAACTACTGAACAATCTTCTCTCACTGAACTAGATGAGGTAGAGTGGCTAACTATAAGATTAAAGGCAGCAAAGAAAAGATTGAAAGAACTAGAGGAGAGGCGTGCTCAGTATGTTGCATCTCTATTGCTCAATTCTGGGGATAATGAGTGAATGTTTAGTGAAGCACTGATTTGGAAGAACAACACATCAGCAATTAGCATCAGCGCTGACACACAGAAACACACAGGAAAACCCCCTATATATATATATAATGCTATAACAACTTGTTTGGTGTCTCAACTATGTTAGTTATTTAGTATATTTAAATTATCTTAAGCTTAAACATCTTTAGATTTTATTATGCAAGTAAAACTTTTAAACTATCTATCTAAATGAGTGTTGTTGTTTATTACCCTCTCTGACTCAGGAGAACTGCATTGCACCTGTTCGATTTTTGAGTTGATTTTCATAGAGGCTGGCTTGGGTTGCTTTAGTTTTGCTCAAACAGAATTTGATGTAGGCAAAATCAGCACAACAAGCAGTTATGAACCTAAAATGCACAGTAGTGTGATTGTGTCATCCATTAACATAGCTTGAACTTGAAGCTACATTGAATTTACACCACTATCTTGCTGTCAATTATCTGAAAGTGCAACTATAGATAGAAAGAGACAACAGATTTGGAAGTAGGCAAAATCAGCACAACCGTCTACCATCTTAACAAAATATATTCAGACGATCCAACACATGTACATGGTAATTGTAAAAAGTACCAATAACCAGAGCAGTTCACATAAGCACTATTAATATTTAAACCAAGCTCCAAGAAGAAAAGTTATGTAACCACATTTCACAACAAGCAGTTCTAGTAAGAGATAATTAAAGCTATATACTCACGATTCTTCCAAGTCAATAACTTTAATAGCAACCGCTTTGTTAAGCTCATTATCAAACCTGCAAATCAAGAAAGCTATTACCTTAATATGATTTGCCACTCATCCAATACTTATTCACAGCTCAATCCAAGAATGTCAAGCTCCAAGAAGAAAAGTTATGTAACCACATTTCACCACAAGCAGTTCTAGTAAGAGATAATTAAAGCTATATACTCACGATTCTTCCAAGTCAATAACTTTAATAGCAACCACTTTGTTAAGCTCATTATCAAACCTGCAAATTAAGAAAGCTATTACCTTAATATGCAAACAGATTATTAAATTATGTCAGATACGAATTTCATAGATCACTATAAAGGCATGGGACAAGCCCCATAATCTGAACCATATTTACTCATCTACTTCAAGTGATTCGATTCAATTCAATCCATCTACTCATGTTAGCATTCTTCTACATCTGCAATTTGAAAATAATGTGACATTAAGATATTCATAGAACTAAACTAAATAACATCTAATTATTTAAAAATTTCAATATTTCACTTACTTCTATTTTTGGTTGATTCAATCCAATCATTGCAAGTGATCAAGGCCTCCACAATATCTGGAAGTAATGAAGCACGTGTCTCATCAATCACCCTACCTCCTACACTAAACGCCGCCTCTGATGCAACCGTAGTAGCAGGAACACTTAAAACATCACGAGCTATCCTTGCCAAAGTAGGAAATTTTGCTTTATTCACTTTCCACCAATGTAGAATATTGAAGCTCTCATTACTTGGAAACACCAACTCCTCCAAGTATTGCTCCACCACCACAAAGTCTAATTATGTACCAAGCCAGAGCCCACATCTTCGACAAGATTAAAGAGATGCATCACAGAGAATATATATTCAGACGATCCAACACATGTCAATCAATAATTAATCCTACAAATTTATAGGCCTCTAAAATTCTCAATCAATTTGCCACTCATCCAATACTTATTCACAGCTCAATCCAAGAATATCAAGCTCCAAGAAGAAAAGTTATATAACCACATTTCACCGCAAGCAGTTCTAGTAAGAGATAATTAAAGCTATATACTCACGATTCTTCCAAGTCAATAACTTTAATAGCAACCACTTTGTTAAGCTCATTATCAAACCTGCAAATCAAGAAAGCTATTACCTTAATATGCAAACAGATTACCAAATTATGTCAATAACGAATTTCATAGATCACTATAAAGGCATGGGACAAGCCCCATAATCTGAACCATATTTACCCATCTACTTCAAGTGATTCGATTCAATTCAATCCATCTACTCATGTCTGCATTCTTCTACATTTGCAATTTGAAAATAATGTGACATTAAGATATTCATAGAACTAAACTAAATAACATCTAATTATTTAAAAATTTCAATATTTCACTTACTTCTATTTTTGGTTGATTCAATCCAATCATTGCAAGTGATCAAGGCCTCCACAATATCTGGAAGTAATGAAGCACGTGTCTCATCAATCACCCTACCTCCTACACTAAACGCCGCCTCTGATGCAACCGTAGTAGCAGGAACACTTAAAACATCACGAGCTATCCTTGCCAAAGTAGGAAATTTTGCTTTATTCACTTTCCACCAATGTAGAATATTGAAGCTCTCATTACTTGGAAACACCAACTCCTCCAAGTATTGAATAAGTGGAGTTCCATCTGGTAGGAACATCCATGGGGACTTTCTTTTTATGATGTAACTTAACATGATTCACTGCAACATCAAATTTTTGTTGTCCATAAGGAGACCTCCCTAAATATCTCACACTTTCTCGGATTTTTGAAATAAGACTACCAATCACCTTCAAACCATCCTGAACAACTAAATTCAATATGTGCGCGCAACAACGCACATGAAACAATTGTCCACCCAAATGTAGTAATCCTTGGTCATGTAGCCATCCCTTTAAGAGTCTCACCATGACATCATTACTCGTTGCATTATCGACTACCATTGAAAATAACTTCTTATCTATGTTCCACTCTAAAATTAGATCATGCGGCTAATCAATGCGTCTATAAGCAAGGATTTTCTTCTTCAACTCCTAATCATTAGTCACATAATGAGCAGTCAAACATGTATAGGCAAAATTCTGATGGTCTGAAGTCCATATATCAGTTGTCAAGGTGATCTTAGAAGAGAGTTCATCCAAAAATTGATATAACTTGGCCTTTTATATTTCATAAACATCAAGGACATCCGCCCTAACAGTGTTACGAGAAACAAGTTTGAACATTGGTTGAAGATTATTACAAAATATTTCAAAAAATTCATGCTCAACCATGTTAAAAGGATAATTGTGCTTGATTACCATCCTAGAAAAATCCATACGACTTCTCTCTTGATCGAATTTAAAATTTGCAGCCTTAGGAGTAGATTCAGAAGCAGCCTTACTAGCAATCCTAGGGGCATTTGGCCCTTTAAGTACTGGACATGTCTTCGACAAATGATTTTTTAAATGACTAGTCCCTTTCCTACTCTCTCCAACAAATTCCCTATTGCAATGCTTACATCTAGCTATGTCATTTCCATTAGGTCCTTTAAATTTGACAAAGTCATCCCATACCTTTGAAGTTAGTTTTCGAATCCTCTTTGTGGGTCCTTGAGATACATCGTCATCCAACTCGGCATCATCAGCAGTAATAGGTTCGCTATAATCCGAAGACATCTTTGGCTCTAAAACTCAAATATGCACTACACAAGAAATCAAACATAAAGGAGCAGGAGTTCATTTAAAAATAGTGTGCACCAATTTGGAAATTATATAGATTTGTGTGCATGTGATCTATCTACTATAAAGGCATGTGGAATTCATTTAAAAACAAAAAAACTAATAAGCAGCTATCCCATTACTAAGCCTTTGCAGACGATTGTAGTGAAAAGATAAGCAGACATGTTTGTAGAGGATTGTAGTGAAAACATAAGCTATCCCATGAATCTAACATAGAAGAGAAATTTCAGAATCAAGATGAATTTATGAAAATAGATTAAAATATAAAATTGATTATAACTAAAAAAAAGAGGAAAATGATAGAAATTCCAAATGTTTTACTAATATTTCTACTAAATATCTCACATGATTTTGAAATCCACACCATATTGGTCCCATGTAGGTCCGATATCCATGTGAGATATTTGGTAAAAATATTGATAAAACATTTATAATCAATAACCTTATTAAAAAAAAATGACATTACTAAAAGGTGCATATGGCACCTCCTTTTCAAATGTATGTATATTAGAATCTCCCCTGAATTTAACGTTTAAACGTTTAAACAATGTAAGAGTTTCTCCAGTGGGTTGGTATAGTGGCTGCCATTGCCAAAAAATATAGCAATTTGGGCAAGATTGCCTTCTCCAGTGACATGTTAAAAGCAACTTTAACGGTGTGAAATTATAGTTATTATTGCTATAAAATAGTATGGAGAAGAGAGAATCGTATGAGAAAAGATAGAGACAAAGATGAGTATAGTCTGTGATAAAGACACAAAATGGAGACACAATAGTCTCACCTTTTTGGAAAGATTTAAATTTGTTTTCAATAATTTTAACAATGCTAAAATAGCATGAACGATTGGAAATATACTAACATGTCAAATTAAAGCTTGCCTAAATGACAGAGATGGTCTTATCAAGTCGGGAGATGCGTTGACTCACATGCTAAGACAATTAACTTGGAAAAATAACAAATCAGTCAAAGTTGTAAAAATACTTAAATGTGTTCACTCCTAACAATCTCAACATTGTCATCAGTTTTGTGCGTTTTACTATGGAGCCCAATGTAAATGACCCATAAACAATTGAAGCCTCTGGATCTAAACCCTTGATTATATTTATTTAATTTTTACCTCCTCATGAATGCATAATAATCAAAGTATACCCAGAAAAAAATATTCCAAGAAAACTCAAATTCCCACATACCCAATTGAAGTAATAGAAGAAATATGAAGAACTGATAAAAGCAACCATCCAAAGAATTGGGTTTTTTTCTAGCAACTACTACTTTCTGTCGGAACAAACAGAGGGTGCAAGGAGCAATAGGACTGAGTCAATCAGCAACAGGACTGAGTTCAACTAATAATCAACAACATGAAATAAAACATTTAAAAGAAATATAAAAAGGAGCAATAGGACTGAGTCCGAACCTCCGTTTGGTAGCTCAAATGAGCCAAGAAAACTATAAACTCAATCAGCAAAAAATGGGTTGTCTTTGTTTTTTCTCTTTAAATTCTTTTCCTTTTTGGGTTTTGTACAGAGGACGAAAACACAGAGCGACCAACTGAAACAGAAGTTGAGTATACAAATTCTAGAAATTCAAAACCTAGCATTTACATACAACTTTAAACCAAGAATCAGATCTGATACGGGTAAGAATCAGATCGGCAACAAAAACAGATTTGATACGGGACAGAGACCCAACAAAAAAAATAAAAAATAAAAAGGAGCAGAGGGATGATCTCTTACAGTTCGTAGCTCCGATCTGACAAGATTTGGACTTCGTTCTTTGAAATTGAGCGTTATGAATCCAATCGGAGCAGAGAGCTTGATTTGGCTAGGTTCATCGTCATCAATCGGAGCATTTTCAGACGATGAGAGAGAGATTTGATCTTCAGACGATGAACTTCAACAACAGAACGCACTTTTTAGACGATGAGAGAGATCTGTTTATGAGAGATCTGATTTCAATGGAATCGGATTAGGCAAACAAACGGATTGGATCGGATTTATCCGAGTCCGACCCGTTTAAAATCGGGCTACACAGATATGGGTTAAACAGATATTCGGATTCGGATTTGCATAAATGGACCGGATTAATCGGATCAGATTCGGATCGGATTCGGGTTATACCCGATCCGTTGACAGGCCTAGTGAGAACTGTTAGAAAATTGGTTAATATAAGGCTTATTTTGGGCCATCTTTGAGCCCAAAATTAAGTGGGTCCCAAGTGTCTTTTGGAGTGGGTCCGAAAAGGTGACGTATTCCTTGTCACATGGCCAGTCACACGGTGAAGACGGTTCGTCAAAACCATTTATGAGTGAATGGGAACTTGACGTCTTTTTCAGATTCGTGGTATGGACATTTAAAGATTCAAATATGGGTTTCCTAATAATGGGTTATCTCACATTGAAACTTTAAGAGAGCTTGTTTGTGTATATAAGCTCTAGACTACAATACTTGGGTTGGGCCCCAAGGGGCATCCTAAGTTTGTAGAAGGGAGGAGTTATGGACAAAGTGAATCTTAGCCCAAGCTGCCGCCGTCCATCCGGCCGAGCCGAGCCGTGCCGGGCGCGGGTGTGGGTTGTGGGTCGGGCCCATTCTTGTATTAATTTTTTGGACCAAAATTCATTTGGATTTTTTCAAAAAAAATTATTGCGGGAATTTAATTCAAATTTGAATTCCAATTTTTTGTCCAACATTTGAACCTTCTTCAGTTCGAATTATTCAACAGATTAACTACATAAAACGACTCATAACTGCCAGCAGTTACTGTTTTGAAATTGCACTGTTTAAACAGGTTCACACAGTTCGGACAGGTCTTTATTTCCAGTAGTGATCTATTGCAGTTTGGAACCGAATCTGTTTGTTTGAGTAGTGCATCTGTTCAGTTTGAATTCATACCTTTTCAGGTTTGAATTCATACCTGTTTGGGCCTATAAATACATAACATATTCCAGCACTTTACCAATTTGAAAATCAGTCAGAAAAACAATGCTCTTGCTGTCCAGATTTTATTTGTTTACATTATTCTTCATATTAGTCATTTAGAGAAATATTCAGAGAGTTATAGAACACAAGGTTCTAGTTCGCCAGTTAAATTTGTTTGGAGTGCCACTAAAAATTTTTGAAGATCATTGTATCATGGGAGATAGATGCCACTCAACCGTAAGCACCATAGCGGGGCAAATCTGTCTTAAGGACAGAGTGTCACACATTCGACTTGGTCTTTAATTTTTTTTTTTAATTTGGTTTGATAAATAAATTCGGTACGTTATTTAGTTATTTGTTTGTTTTTGTTTCAATTTATTTTATTTACACAGAAGATTGTTCCAACAATCTTAAGACAGATCCGAATTATTCTGTTTATAGAATTTTTCGTTTGTTTCCCTTTCTCTTTTTTCTTTTACAAAAAATTATTTTCCGTGAATTAAATAATATTCTAGTTGAAAAAACAAATAGTGATTATATGCTATTTGACAGATAGTAGTAATATACTGTCTATTTTCTTTGGCAACTAGTAGTAATATATTGGTGTCATTAACAATTCAGAATATTTATTTGTGAAATTTTGTCAGAAATTAATTTTGGCTTTTAGCAATTATTTTTTGAGTGTTCATTAATTAAAATTCTATTTTAGTTTTCTAATTATTGAAGTGTTACAGAAATTTAATTTTCTGTGTGGAATTAATTTGGTTAAATAAAATTTTATTTTATTTCCAAATTAATTGAAAAATAAAAGTTACATTCTTGTTTCTTTTATTTTTACAGAATTTAATTATGTGAATTTGGATTAATTTTCTGTGTAGTATAAATTCTAATTATAATTTTGTTTTATAATTTAGAATTCATGGCTACTGAAACAAATGCTCAAACAAGTACTAGTGTGGTGCCTGCAATTGCGCCAACCCCCTCTCATGTTGTGACAGTACCGGTAAATCACGGTGAGAAGCCAGAAAAGTTTTCAGGAACTGATTTTAAAAGATGACAACAGAAAATGTTGTTCTATCTTACAACTCTTAACTTGGCTCGTTTCCTCCGTGAGGATGCTCCTATTTTGAAAGAGGATGAAACCGACCGGCAAGTGGTTGCTGCGGTCGATGCCTGGAAACATGCTGATTTCCTTTTGCCGAAACTACATCTTGAACGGACTTGACAACACATTATACAACGTCTACATTCCTATCAAGACAGCAAAGGAACTTTGGGAGTCTTTGAAGAAAAAGTACAAAACGGAAGATGCCGGCTCAAAAAAATTTGTGGTTGACAAATTCTTAGATTTTGTGATGGTTGATTCTAAGATTATGATCAGACAAGTTCAAGATCTCCAACTCATTCTGCATGACATTCATGCAGAAGGCATGTCTCTCAGTGAATCCTTCCAAGTTGCAGCCTTAATTGAAAAATTACCACAAGGCTGGAAGGATTTCAAGAACTACCTCAAACACAAGCGCAAAGAAATGTCTTTGGAAGAATTAATTGTGCGTTTGAGGATTGAGGAGGACAACTGCAATTCTAAAAAGCGGGCTGGTAAGCATCCTATGGAGTCTAAGGCAAATGTGGTGGAACATGCTTCTAAAACCAAGAAACGAAAATCTTCTGGAGAAAGTTCATCACAAGGCTTTAAAGGGGGGGAAAATAAAAAGTACAAGTTTAATGACAAATGTTACATCTGTGACAAAGAGGGACATTGGGCCAAAAATTGCCGTAGCAAAGGAAAAAACAAAAGAAGAACAAGCAAGAAGCCTGCTCAAGCCCATATGACCGAAGTGGACAATATTTCCAATGGTGTAGATGACATCAATCTTTCTGTAGTTGTTTCCGAGGCAAATCTTGTCGGAAATCCTAAAGAATGGTGGGTGGACACTGGTGTTACTCGCCATATCTGTGCCAACAAAAAGATGTTCACATCTTATTCAACAGTGGACAATGGTGAACAACTTTTTATGGGCA